AAAGAAGAAAAGACGTCTAGAGGTAATAAAACAGGGAAGAGGTAGGTTACTAGAAATTCCAAAGAAACCAAGGAAGCAAGGAAAGTTTCCTCCATGTAAGGTATGCATGACAAATAGCAATCTCAAGAAAGAATGAATGGTATAAGGGTTTATTCAAGGGAGAATGACATTGAGGTCCCACAGAAGCCAAAATACAGCAAAAAGGTCCCCTGAAATGTCATAATTTTTCTGAAGTCCCAAAGGGACTTAGATGCAATTTTCAGAATCTGTAAATTACTCTCTTGCCCTGCCCTAAGCCATCAGAAACGAAGAAGCAGAATTTCATTTGGGTGAGAGTTCCCGCGCAATATGCTTGAGAAAGAAGACATTGGGAAAGAGGGAAGGAGCCATTGATGATGAAATATCCTCTCTATTACCATTAGTGAACTCCAAAGAGCTTCCATGTGAATCTCCACAAACTTTCAGGTGTGAAACTTTCTTTCCTCTTCTCTCCTACCTTTCTTGACAGATTGTGCTTTTGTTTGGAAATGGGAAATCAAAAAATTGGTTTTGTGTTTTTGGGTTGCTTGTGGGTGGTTTTGGAGATGGGATTCAGAAGTTACTCAATAGAAAAGCTGTGTTTTTGGTTGGTGTGTGTTGTGATTTAAGTTGGGTGTGTAGAATGATAATGGGTGCTCTGTTTTTGGGTTGTTTTTGGGTGGCTTTCCTCTGTTCTGACGTTAGTTTAGTGGCAAAGGAAGAAAAAGATGAAGGTTAGTGAGGGTAGAAACCCTTAGCACGAAATGGGATTGTGTTGTCAATCAGGCTGCGATTGTTGTCAATGTGTGCCCCTACACTTGTCCATGTAGCTCCTTAAGTTGTCAATGACAGTTGCGTGCTGGTTGATGCAGGTTTAAGTTACTGATGGCATTTCAAAGCTTTTGTTTTTGGTTTAGGATTCAGAAGTTAATGAATGGAAAAGTTGTGTTTTTGGTTGGTATGTGCTGTGATTTAAGTTGGGTGTGTAGAATGATAATAGGTGCTCTGTTTTTGGGTTGTTTTTGGGTGGTTTTCCTCTGTTCTGACATTAGTTTAGTGGCAAAGGAAGAAAAAGATGAAGGTTAGTGAGGGTAGAAACCCTTAGCACGAAATGGGATTGTGTTGTCAATCAGGCCGCGATTGTTGTCAATGTGTGCCCCTACACTTGTCAATGTAGCTCCTTAAGTTGTCAATGACAGTTGCGTGCTGGTTGATGCAGGTTTAAGTTACTGATGGCGACTACGTCTGGAAAACATCTATTTTGCTTTGTTCACATAGGGGGAAGTTTATAAATGATGGAGAAGATAATATGAGATATGTGGGAGGTAGTGTAAGAACAACCAATGTAAAGGAGGGCACAAGTTATGAAGAATTGAAGGAGATTATATCATCATTTACTGGAAAAGAAAGCAACTCATTTCTTCTGAAATTCTCTGTTGTGTTTGATAAAAAAACTTTTGTGGAGTTAGTAGATGATGATGGGGTGGAACATTTGATAAAGTTCAATGAAGAAAGCGGTCATGTGTATGTAGAAGAGACTGGAAATAAGGACCATATAGAAGCAACAAGGGATAATACAATGGAGGAGCAAGATGTGTAAGTTTAGTTTAAGAAATCTGTTATTGCCATTTCTTGGTATGTCAGTTGTTACTGTCTTGCTATCAACTTGTCAATGCATGCACCTTGACTTGTCATTTCCTGCAGGATTGATCAATCATTTGGAGATGTTAATGAATTGTCTATGTCTCCACCTACCGCATTTGATGTGATTGGGGAGCCATCATCAATTCCTTGTGCTGTTGAAATGATCCCAACACCTACACCACAAATGAATTCCACAAAATGGAAGGATTTGATTATTGGAGAAGGACAAATATTTCCAAATGCCACTGCTCTTCGAGAAACATTATACAAGTACAGCCTATCCTAGAAGTTTTCATACCTTTTTATTAAGAATAATCAGCAAAAGATCATTGTGAAGTGCAAGGTTGATGGTTGTCCATGGTATATGGGTGCATATTCAATGGGAGCACATCAAGATACTAAGTTTTTAACTATCAGAACATACAAAAGTGAACACATTCATCATGCACAGGACACCTTAATTGTTTCCCACTCAGGAAGGTCAAATTTAGCTGCTTCAATTGTCATTGATGACTTGAGGTGCAATGTTGACAAGAGTCCTAATGAAATTAGAAAGGACTTGTATAAAGAATATGGAGTGCAATCGAACTATACTCAAGCATATAGGGTCAAGAAGAGAGCACTAACAGAATTACATGGTCGAGTAGAAGATTCTTATAAGGTAATCCCTTGGATGTGTGAGAGACTCATGGAAACTGATCCTGACACAGTTGCAAGATGGGAAGGCTCAGATAGCAACCGATTTGAGAGGCTCTTCATTGCATATGGATGCTCAGTTAAAGGCTTTTTGCAAGGTTGTAGACCAATTATTTATATAGATGGATGTCATTTGAGTGGTCCTTACAAAGGAACTTTATTATCTGCTTGTGCATTTGATGCAGACAATGAGTTGTTTCCCTTAGCATATGGTATTGTTAGCGGAGAAACAATTGATGAGTGGACTTGGTTTCTACAGAATTTGAAGGAGATAACCAGATCAGCACAAGTGACAATTGTCTCAGATCGGAGTAATGCTATCATCGGTGCTGTTAGGACAGTATTTGATGGTGAGAGACATGCTTTTTGCTATCGACATGTGAAAGAAAATTATAGTGCGCAGTATGTGAAAATCAATAGAGGTGTGAGACGAACCTCAGAAAATAACAAGGAGAACGCACTTAATTTACTTGATGGAATTGCATATGCAAGGCATGACAATGAGTTTAATGTTGCAATGGGAAATTTAAGATTGTTTTGTCCACAATTGGCACAATGGGTTGAATCTGATGGGGATGTGGATAGATGGGCGCAAAGTAAATTTCCTTTTAAGAGATGGGATAACATCACCAATAATCTTGCTGAGTCTTTTAATGCATGGATGTTAAAAGAAAGGAAGCATGCCTTGCCGGTTTTGATACAAGAGCATCAAGAGAAGTTGGCCAAGAAGATGGTTGCTAGCAAAATGGGGATGAGAAGCTGGAAAAATGGTATAGGGCCTAATATTGAATCAAAGTTGTCGGAACAAATAGCAAGAGGTACGTATATGGAGGCAACATATTATGGTGATGACCATATTTCGGTGCAAACAATGCGTGAGGGACGCATCATCTATGTGACTGTTGATCTTATTTCTCATAGATGCACATGTTTGGCATGGCAAATGAGTGGAATACCTTGTCCACATGCATGTGCGGCAATCAAGCTAGTTCACCGTAGCGTGTATGATTATATAGATGACTATTATAAATTGTCCACACAGGAGAAAATATATGAAAATAGCATGAGGCCAATTGCAACGCATGATTGCCCACAGCCGGATGCGCCTACTGTGACTCATATGCTGACTCAAACATTCTTGCATCCACCCATAACTAGAAGGCCTCCAGGAAGGCCAAGGATTAATAGAATAGAATCTCAGTTTCAAAATAAGAAGGTTTATCATTGTGGAAGATGCAAAGAGCCTGGACACACTGCCAAGACATGCAAGAACCCAAATCCCATATGAGAACATAATAAAATCAGCTCTTTTTTGTATATGAATGTGAAGGGAATATTTTGTAAATGGGTGTGAAGGGAATTTTTTGTAAATGGATACACACCAATAGTTAGTTTCTCGTAATTACATGCAACCCCTGTGTTTTTTTGGGATGGGTTGTGAATTAGGTGTAGTTTCATGTATATGAAGGTGTAAATGAAAGTTGACTATGAATTGGCATGTTAGATTCTGCTGTCATTTAAGTTGTCATTACCTGCACCTTGTATTGTCATTAGACCTGTTATGACTTGTCAACGGAGCACTGTCACTTGTCAATTAATTTGCTGATGTAAGTTGTCAACAATATGAATTCGAGTTACATAACTTGTTTTAGTAACATACGATATTCTCAATCACTGTGTCATATTATATTTTTGGTTATATTGTCATATATAATCATTATTAATGAAGTGTCAATGGTAGCACTGTGACTTGTCAATGGTGGCATAGTGACTTGTCAATGGTGGCACACTGACTTGTCGTTGGTGGCACCATGGCTTGTCAATGGTGTCACACGGACTTGTCATTGGTGCCAATGTGGCTTGTCAATGGTGGCCATATGACTTGTCAATGGTGGCATACTGACTTGTCGTTCGTGGCACACTGACTTGTCGTTGGTGGCACTATGACTTGTCAATGGTGGCACTATGACTTGTCAATGATGGCACATTGACTTGTCGTTCGTGGCACACTGACTTGTCGTTGGTGACACTATGACTTGTCAATGATGGCACACTGACTTGTCAATGGTGGCACTATGACTTGTCAATGATGGCACACTGACTTGTCCTTGGTGGCACTATGACTTGTCAATGGTGGCACTATGACTTGTCAATGATGGCACACTGACTTGTCGTTGGTGGCACTATGACTTGTCAATGATGGCACTATGACTTGTCAATGGTGGCACACTGACTTGTCGTTCGTGGCACACTGACTTGTCGTTGGTGGCACTATGACTTGTCAATGATGGCACTATGACTTGTCAATGGTGGCACACTGACTTGTCGTTGTGGCACTATGACTTGTCGTTGGTGGCACACGGACTTGTCATTGGTGGCAATGTGACTTGTCAATGGTCGCACTGTGACTTGTCAATGGTAGCACACTGACTTGTCGTTGGTGGCACCATGGCTTGTCAATGGTGGCACACGGACTTGTCATTGGTGCCAATGTGAGTTGTTAATGGTTACATAACTTGTTATATCACTTGTCATTAACTCATGTTATATTACTTATTAATATTACATAAATTTATCGATATCAATAAAGATATAAAATAACAAAAATAAAAATGTGACTTGTGCCCAAGAAATTGGTATCATAACATCTAATAACAAAGGTAATAATATTATAAACATAATTTGATCAGTTTGTTACAAAAGGACCTATTGACCATTAAGGTATTGCCACTCATGGCTTACACCCTTAGGTGCCAATCATCTCACAACACATCCTGGCATAACATAACAAAAAATTAATTGACTCCTCTATCTCCTTCTCTTGCTCTTGTTATAGTCCGATAGCATTGACATCACTTCATCCCTATGTTCATTATGTGGATGGGTAACCAACCACCACAAACAGCCAACCTTCAACTCTTGCAATTCATCATTGGAGTATCGTGGCATGGTATATCCTGCAGCATCACGAGCAGTGCCATCCCACTCTTGTAGCCAAGAGAGGACATGAACTCCACATGAATCACTGCCAAGCAAATTCAATATGTAAGCAGCATGCAATTTTTATTGTGAACAAACACAACATAACACAATCAAACAGAAGAATTACACTTACGTATCATTCTGCACATAAACTTTAGCCCATTTCACTTCGTTGTCAATTTTCTCCTCATTGGCAAACAATTCTGGCTTAACAGCACGCAACATCGTATGGAAACAGTTCATCTGGAAAAAAATACACATAATCAAAAGGCTTTACTAACAACACAGCATCCAGTGACAAGGGACAGAGCATATAGTGACAAGTAATACAGCATCCAGTGACAAGGGACAGAGCATATAGTGACAAGTAATACAGCATTTAGTGACAAGGGACAGAGCATATAGTTACAAGTAATACAACATCCAGTGACAAGGGACAGAGCATATAGTGACAAGTAATACAGCATCCAGTGACAAGGGACAGAGCATATAGTGACAAGTAATACAGCATCCAGTGACAAGGGACAGAGCATCCAGTGACAAATAACAGCATCCACTAACAACTAACAGAGCATCCAGTGACAACTAACACAGCATCCAGTGACAACTAACATAGCATGCAGTGACAACTAACACAGCATCTACTAACAAGAGACAGAGCATCCACTAACAACTAACAGAGCATGCAATGACAACTAACAAAGCATCCAGTAACAACTAACAGAGCATGCAATGACAACTACGCAGGCTGCTAGTGACAACTATAAGAGTAGTCATCGACAAGTATAACAGCAACAAATAACTACACACAGTCTGTGTTGCCATAAAGTGTTTGGGATTGAAGTGGCCTTTATTTGTCCTCTTTTTCTTCTTCACATCATGTTGCTGCTCACCCCCCTTCTTCTTTGCTTCTTCTTCCTCTGCTTGTAGTCTCATAAACGTGATGCTATCAACCAAGGAGTCAAGGGCGTAGAAGGTCATGGTCTTTGTCTCCAAAACATAACAAAACCAATGATCTTCAAATAACGTAGGACCGAAAAGGAAATCGCAATCCCCTATGTTGTACCCAATATATTTAGGTAATATTTCCCTTTCATGGTCCTCCCATTTCCATCTTAAAGGATTGGCTACCATCTTTTGCATGAAATCCGCAGAAAATATATGCCGGTTCACCCTCCCCTCTTTATCCTTTTGATCTCCAACAAACGTCTTTGCCACCATAGTCATAAACTGAAATTACAATACAAAGAAATTACAACTCTTTACCATCAAATAACTCATTCTAATGTTAACTATATACATGTGACTTACCCTATCGTTAATCCATCTTCTACGTTGGAGACATTGCAGCTCACCACGGGTTAGGAAGTATCCATACATCGATACAAAGTATCTAATGCAAATAAAACAATTATGAAGTCAGTAAATTCTGCAACATAATATAAATTTGGACACCAAAACATAATACTTACTGCTTTTGCTCCTCTTCATCACACCTAGCTGTACACATGTCAAATAAAGCTTGCCTGTCATCAATTGTTCTCTTGTTCCCAGGCTTACTTTTGATTTCCAGAAATGGAGACCTAAGAGCCTTACCTTTACTTATCACCCTTGTTGATTTTCTCACATATGTTTTCCCTTCCCCTTGGTTGTACTCTTCATCCCCTTGTTCTTTTCTATTTCCTTCTTCATCATCTTTGTCCTCTTCTTGCTTTTTCTCCTCCTCATCCTCTTCTTCTCTTTTGTTTTCTTCTCCACCCATGTCCTTCTCAGATCGAATTTCTTGTTCTTCTTCTTGATTTTTATCATCTTCCGATTCAATTCCATCCTCTTCAGTTTCCTCTTCCTCTGACTCAGGTTCTTCCTCCTTATCTTTCTCCTCTTCACTTACATTATCACTGTCCTTCATTAGTCTTGACTGAAGGGACATCATTTCTTCTCCCAGCATTGACACTAATCGGGCATATGTTCTCTTGATCTCCTACACAAATTAAATTTAGAACTTCAATCTCTAAGCAACAGCCAAAAAAAAAAGTTCCATTAAGCCTCCAAGTCCACATACCGGGTGAGTTAAATTTTCTGGATCAAAACTGGTGGCTTGACTAGCTGGATGCAATAATCCTTGATCACTCTCCTTCTCCATGTTAACTCTTTCCTGCACTTTCTTTTCATCCCAAAATGCAAGAGCATCCTTAATATGTGAAGCTTTTGTTTCCCCCAATGGAAACTTTTGTAGACAATATATCTGCATGTGACATGAATGATAAGTTAACAACAGCCATTGACAACATTCAGACCATAAAATGACAATAGAAATATACAAATTATAATAGCACTTACTTGTAGGAAGTATAGACAGCCTGGAATATTCTTCTTCTTCTCAGTCAACTTGCCTTTTTCCAATTGTTTCTTGTACACTCTAATGCCCTTGTATAGTTCATTTAACACATAAGATGACCAATCAAACTTACCCAATCTATCCTTTGTTGATAGTATTACCTTCAACAAATAATCACTAACACAAATACTTGCATTAGGACACAGCAACGTTCCCAATGCATACATCACAAACAGCATCTCAAAATTTTCATCTTGTTTCTCCTCGGTCAACAATGAAGCTATCTTCTTGTATGGAATATTGCCATACACAGTCCTCCATTGCTTGAACACTTCATCTTCACTACTCACAGCTGCTTTAATCTCTTCCCCCTCAAATGGTAGCCCCATAAAGTCATGCACATCATTTGCCCCCATTTTCCTTCTCTTCCCTCTTATGGAAATGCTTTTTGTTGGAATGTCGAATGCACACATAAACTCTCCACACAATTCTCTTTGAATTGTGTGGCAACATAATTCAACCAACTTGTCAAAACCTATCTTTTTTAGCCTATCCATCAGGTCCTTCCTTTCTTTGACATGCTTGCAAACTTGTACAAATTGTTTAGGTGCACATCTTGTGTAGAAAGGAACTATATACTTCTTGGACTTTGTAGGAGCTCTTTGTTCCCTAGCCCTTTGACAATATTTCTCTTTTTGCTTTTCAGATAATTTATCCCAGGCCTTCCTCACATGTGGATTCCCTGATTCAAGGGATTTATACTTTCTCGAGGTTTTTTTATAAAATTCCTCTGTGAACAAGGCATAACCAGAAAAATTAGAGCTCCTTTGTCCACTTGCATTGCTTCCATCCTTCCCCATTTTCTTAACCTACCAAAAAAGACAATAGCATCACATAACTTGCCCAATACAGCAGCTCCCAACTCTGTCTTAATTATTATCTAAGTTGGTTTCTTTACTACATCAAGCTCAATGTACTTAGTAATTTCTAAAAAAAGGAATTCTGATTAATAGCATTCAGTAATGGGAAGCAACACAATCTGGGAGATTACTAGGACCCAAATAACTCAGCAGAAGGGGAAGAATACCAAGTTGGTAAAGGTTTCCAAATGGAAAAGCACTTCTAATGTCCGTGCCACTTTCAAAATTGCGTTGAAGAAGCATACTGTATCACAAGTATTAAAAAGTTCTTCTACTATTAACACTAGTTCGAGAAAACTATCCAGACCATTAAAATCAGCAAAGGCAGGAGGGATACACGTTAAAAAATCTGTAAGATCTTCCAATGCATGTCATCACGCCGTACAAAACTATCAATTATGTGCAAGTTTCTTTTTTAATCATATTTTTGCTCAATGCATCTTCTCCAAATCCATTTCGTGTTGTCACCAAACTGACTTAAATTACTACATTTATGATTTTATCCACGCTCAAGCACTACTCATTCCCTCATTAGTATTCGGTAATGGGAATTGCAATTGGATTATACTTTAAACAACAAACTGGAAGCAGAGAATGAAAGGGAAAAATGCTGGAAAAACAAACCATGATTCGTAATCTCTGCCTCCGTCGTTCAATGAATTTATGTTCCAAGAAATCAGCCTCTCTGCCTCCGTTGTTCACTCAAATTTCGTTCCCAGAAATCAACGTCTTTGCCTCGGTCGTTCAGTCCCTTTTCCTTCCCAGAAATCAGCATCTCCTCTCCATCGTTCAGTGGCTTTTTGTTCCCAGAAATCACCGTCTCTGCCCCGCCATTCAGTGACTTTCCGTTCCCGATCAATCAGTGTCTCTGCCTCGGTCGTTCAATGACTTTCCATTCTCAGAAAATAGCATCTCTGCCTTTGTCGTTCAGCTACCTCTGTTCTCAGAAATTGCCGTCTCTGCCTCCGTCGTCCAGCGCCCTCTATTCCCAAAAGTCGACTTCTCTGCTTCCGTCCTTCAAAACTCGCCTCGTCTCACTCCGTCGTTCAGCGCCCTCTGTTCCCAGAACTCAACTTCTTTGTTTGCGTCCTTCAAAACTCGCCTCCTCTCACTCCGTTGCTCTCAGCACTTAGGTCTCCACAGCTTTTCTCCCTTCAACGCTGCGTTTTCCAACTTCTCCAACATAGCCGGCCGTGTGTGGCTTCCCAGTGGAGAGCTCCAACGGATTTCACTTTAGGGGTAAGAGAGTAATTTGTGGATTATTAAAATTGCATCTAAGTCCCTTTGGGACTTCAGAAAAATTATGACATTTCAGGGGACTTTTTTGCTGTATTTTGGCTTCTGTGGGACCTCAATGTCATTCTCCCTTTATTCAATGCTGATTTTGCAAGAAGATAGGTTACATTAAGAAGGCTTGCAAGCAAAATCAAGCTAGTGATCAACAAGAAGAATAACCTCAATAGTAAGTAAATTTCACAAACAAACAAGATGTACTGGATGGTATATTTTTTTATGGCTTCTCAGTCAATTCATTTACTTGGTAATAAAATCTAGTTTGTTGACAGTTGTTGCATGAATCACATGTCTAAGGATGAAAGCTTGTTTTATTGCTTGGATGAGTCAGTAAAGTTCAAAGTTAAATTGGGAAAATGGAAAGATTGTTCATTTTGATGAAAAGGTTGAGCTATAACGCACAACAAAGAAGGTATCAAACACATCAATAATATGTTGTCTGTACCTTGTTTAACACAAAAATCTACCACTTGTTGCACAAATGAACACAAAGGGATGCTCATTATTGCTTAAAGACATGTCATATTTATGGTTCTAATGATTGTTTGGTTGCCAAAGCACCTATGATAGACAGAGATAACCCTTAGATTAGAATGAGTCATTTGATATTGCTAATTACGTTTCAAGTGATGAGTCCTGTCACATCTCACTAATTTTAATCTTGAGAATATGAATAATAAATTAGACAGAAGGTCAAGCAATAAAGTAGACTCAGAAACAAAACAACTTTTGAGTCGAGATCCAGCTCTTGTCGGGACTGATATTTTTGAAATTATCGATCCAAGAAGGGCAAAATAGAAAAATTGGAAACAAATTTCAGAAAATTTTCAAAAAATAGTAAAAAGATAAATGAGAGGTTTTGGAATCCTATTTGAGGCTCTAGAAGTAGAAATGGCATAAAAATAAATTATTACATAATTTTTTGTAAACAAAGGTTTTTCTAAAAAACAGGGAACAATTAGCTGGAAAAAATTATTTTAAATATATAGAGACCTCAATAAGTCTGAAAGATATAAAAAATTATTTGAGGATTTATTTGATTTTATAAAATTATTTTCAGGCCGTAGGAGTGAAAGAATTAATTTTAGGATATTTATTACCAAAATTTTATCGGTAAAGCCTGATTTCAGAGAAAATTCAAAATAAATAGTTAGAGATTGGGATAAATTTTAGAAAAATTCAGGAGACCTTCCTATGTTAAAATATGATTTTAGATGGGTAGAAATGAATTTTTTTAGGTCCAAAAATATTATTGAAAATTAGAAACAAATTTTAGCCGATACGATGAAATCAGGTAAAAAAAATGTTTAGAGATGCAAGGTAATACTTCTTCTTTCTTTCTCTAGCCCATTGGACTTCATTTTGGACCAGGAATGAACAGTAAATTTGTGGCCCAAGTGGTGCACATGGTTATAAAATAAAATAATGCATAATATCACATGATTTTATCCAAAACATTATTACATAAGGAACACTTGTACTCTCCCAATTTTCTGCAACTCCTCAAGGTCTACACATGGCCTTTAGCTCCAGATTTTTAAGAGACACTTAGAAGGAAGATGAGGCTACAGTGAGGTATATAAATACCCCCTCTTACACTTTCAATTTTTGGTTTTTAGACACTCAAAAGTGGGGGAGGTTTTGCTGTAGACAAAGCTGAGTTTGGGAGACAAGAACATGCTAAAAATAGCCTAGAATTTTCAAGCAAGAATCAAGGATCAATCAAGGTATGTTCAAGTTTTAATTTGACTATGACTCTAGCTTGAGTGAAATTTGGTGACAATATCCAAGGTGTTCTGCTGTCCAATTTTTGAAATGATGAGAAATGATTAGGCAAGGATAAAAGCCATGATTTAGAGCTTGGAATAGCTTGCTTAGTTGATGTTTGGATTGATTTTTGGAAGAAATTTCAAGTTCCCTATTAAAAACCATGATTTAGAGCTTGGAATAGCTTGCTTGGTTGATGTTTGGATTAATTTTTGGAAGAAATTTCAAGTTCCCTATTTAAGGGGGCATTTCAGCCACTATGTGTTCAGGGGTTTAGAAATTGTTTCGGTTTAATTTGATAATTCTAATAAGTTTAGAATGTGTTTTTGTGTGGGAATATACCAAGAAAAAGTGTTTGAAAGCATTAGAATTAAAAATGAAAATTCTAACCCTAAACTACCTTCAATTCGGCCATTGCTTGTTCTTAATGTTAGAGATTGTTTCAATATGATTTGATGATTCCAATAGGTTTAAAAGGTATTTTTGTGTGAGGGAACACCAAGGAAAAGTGTTTCAAATTATTGGAATCAAAAATGAAAATTTTGGATCCCCAAAGCATACTATTCGGCCAACTCAAGTTCAAGAGGAAGAAGTTTGATTTTGTTAAATATGATTTGATGATTGGATTCTATATAAAAAATAGTGTGGGAATAAACCAAGAGATTGATTGAAACAAAGAAGAAATAATTATTTCAAAAATCAAGAAAAAAGGGGTTTAATTGAGTATATTGTTGAGTAATGGTGTTTATGCTCCAATTATTGGTAATTTGGAATGTGTTTATCCTTGGATTGATAGCCATTGTGTGAGAAAACAAAGAGGAGCACCAAATACCTAAGGAGGCTGAATTGTGTATCTGAGTAAGAGGTAGCATTGAACTCATAATTTGATTGCTTTCTTATTTGTTTAAATGTGTTTATGTTAGTTGATTTATGTTGCCATGATGTGATTGAGCAAACTATGTGATTATGTGTGAATTTCTATGTCAAGTATGCTTTGGCAATATGTAATGTGGAATGGCATCATGGTTGATTTATGGGTCTCTTTCCATGGCAAATCAAATATACATAAAATGTTGCATAATAATTCTAGTTTTGTGGTAACATATCACATTTTAACATAGTAATGATAAGCATGATGATTGTAATTTATTGCTATTGAGATTTTCTATGAAATATCATTCTTTTATGTTCAAATATCTACCGAGTAGGGTTGTACCAAGCAAGGAGAAAGGCAAAGAGATTATCTTTGGAGATAATCGAGTTTAATGCCTCTTGATGAATATTTTGTAATTTTGATGAATTATTGTGAATTATTGAGAATTATTGTAATGATAATCAAGAATGTTATGCATGTGGATATTTGATGAAGAAATCATATATAAACATGTGATATGTGGCTGAATCATATTGGAATAGTTATTGTTTATTTTGGGCAA